TTGCAAGTGAACTGAATCTGATTTTTGCATTGACGGTTTTGTCATTGAACGTTCTGTTATTGAACCGAATTTGATTTCCGCATTAACGGTTTATCAGTGAAAGTTCTGTTATACTTACATGGTTTATCTGGCGTGCTTAAAAGTTTTACCCAAGGGCTATCCATATTTACTTACTGAGTTATCTCATAGTTTTCCTTGTCCACCATTTCAGGAAACGAAACCGAGGACGGGGAAACTGAGGGGAGTGACGAGTTAGAAGGCTAGCCACTTGTAATTTGAATTGGATAAGTTCCGAGCCTTGTGCATTTGTGGGACCCACTCACGAGTGCATGGCGTCTGTCGCGCCTCGAAATTCGGGTTTTGGGGCGTGACATGACTAAAAGTATGGGCCAAAATAATAATTCAAAATATAATTAAAACAATAATTGTTGAAACAAAAAACAATCAATGTAATTATTTATAAATGATCATTCAATTAGGCTTCGTTTGACCATGTTTGAATAGACTTCTTTCATAGACACATTATCTAAAAATATAAATTTTTTATTTTTAATTAATTTTAGTTAATTTTCTATATATGTTTATGAATTTTAATTTATATTTTCTATGTTTTTGGAATAGTATAAGACAAAAAAAACTTATAACTACAGCATAATACTAACAATCAAAGCCTTAACATTTATTTTTCATATCTTTTTCATATTCCTCATCTTTCTCACCATCATAAAAATAGTATCTAATGAACAAATAAAGGATCAATAAGTATTTGAACAAAATGTGAAAAATCTATATATAAACATTTCAAAAGTTTAGGGGGGCTCATGTAATGCCCCTTTAGACCTCCTTAGCTTCGCCACTAGTGTCAGGGTTTATATCTTTTATTGTTTAACACATTTAGTTTCTTAGTGTTTGCATTTTTTTTATAATATTAGAGTTTAGGCCTTTTAGAATTTAACATGGTGATTAACATGGTTGTTAGGGTTTATATTATATTTTTAGTGTAAAGGTTTTAATTTTTTAAACTTTACTATATTTAGGGTGTTAAGTTTATATTTTTAGGATTTTGTGAAGGTTTAGATTTTTTAAGATTCAATATTTAGAGTAATATGGTTTATATTTTTAAATTGTTTTAGAGTTCAAAAGTTTTTGGTTCAATATTCAGGTGTTAGGGTTTAGATTTAATAAAATTTAGTTATTCAGATTCAATTCTTCTTCTTCTTCTTCTTTTTTCATTTTTTGTGTTTCATTTATCTAGGGAAATACATTAATAAATACTTCCTCTTTTAAAATAATAATTTTTTTACTCAATATTTGTCTTAAATTAATTGTAATTTTCTTATTTTATAATATTAACAAATATTTTTTTATTTTAATTCTATTATTATTTATCTACTTTAATTGTTCATTCTATCACACTAAAGGTTCATTTGATATAGTAATTAACTGTTTCATTCAAACTATTACACAAAAGTATTTAGTGATTTTTTTCCCCTATAAATAGCTATGTATTTGGTGTTTGGTAAAGTTTTTGTCTAACAATCTGATGGTAGCAGTTAGTGCTTACAGCCCAATTTGCTAGCTAATTGAAAAGGTTCCCGAAAGTAACTTTTTGCCTCCAAGTGTTAGTGGATTTGAATTTTTAAATTTTTATGATAAATTTATCTATAAAATAATTACAAATAAAATACAAGTTTGAGTATGACTTCTCTTCTCTCGTGCACAACTTTCTTCGCTTCTTTTATAATGCCCTAATACATCAAAATGGAATTATAAGCGTGGAGTTAGTAACAACTTTAACTTAAACTTTTGAGAGCCTGTTGACCTTGATCCAAAGAGTTATTAGCCTAATGGCAAGCTTTAGCCCAGTTCATTTTAATTAGTATCAAAGTAGTCACTTTTTAGAGGTGTGGGCCCATACTAACCATTGTTGTCGATGGTAATGTTGAACTCACATAACTTGAGGTAGATATTATGCTTGTGGCCCAATAAACCTAGTTCTAACTGTGATTATGCTTGATGACATTTAAGTGAAAAAGATTGTAAGACAATCCTATGTTAGGATTGGCATATAAGTGTGATTGGTATATAATTGTGGAGACTAGCTAACTACAACTTGGGTTTAAGCTTCTGAGGACTTGTGGATCTTGGCTAGAAGGGTTGTTAGGCTAATAGTAGGCTTTGGCCCCGGTTCTTTTCATTCAAAGTTAAAAAAACCTAATGCCATACTAACAAGGTAATTTTATCATTATTCACAAATTGCTAATTAATTTCTACACTTTTTGGTTAACATGATTCATAAATTTGTACATTTTTTCTATTTTTTTCTTATTTAATTCATAACTAATTTTCTAATATTTAATAAAATTTTGCTAAGCCATTGTAATAAATTAATTAATAGAGAATTTTGTAATTTTCATCTTATATTTAAAATTTTAAAATTAATTTTTTATTAGAAAATAACAAAAGAATTTTTCATTTCTAAATGCATAATAATGATAATAACAACACCAAAAAAACAACAAAAACAACAACAACAAAAACAACAACAACAATAATAATAAAATGATTCTTTTAGTGTTAAACTAATAAAATAATTAATTGCTTTTTATATTTGTCTTTATGTATCATTTAATGTTAAATAGCAACTTTTAAGTATTATAAAATCAAATAGTTTCTAAAGTCAATGTATTCCATCAGCTACTACTACCACTACTTGCTATCCACCAACCTCTAATCACTAGTTTTAAATTGTTATACCAAGCAATCCCTAATGACTTATTTGGTATCGTGGTTAAAATTCAAATAACGAGTAACAAGTAGCAAATGGCGGTTAGCAAATAGTGAATGGTGTATGGTGGAAATAGGTGGCAAATTATAGATGGTGGATTTTGATTGATATAACCATTTGGTTATATAGTGGTTAGTGGTTGTTATTTGACGTTATAAATGATTAATAAATGCGTGTTTAAAAACAATTTTATTTTTCTTTTTATATTTTTTAGGTTAAATACCCTTTTTGGTCCCTCTACTATAAGAAAAAGCCCATTTTTAGTCCCTGTACCAAAAAAATCCCTTTTTTGGTCCTTACTGTTCACAAATCCGGCCTCTTTTTAGTTCCTCCGTTAAAATTTTGCTAACTTGTCATATTAATTAACAGAATTAGTTCATTATTTTTATATAAACAATATTATAAATGACATGGAAATCACATGTACAATTATAAATGACGTGGATAAAATTATCAATACACGTAACCACTTTATCTAAATATTATGTGTCACTTATACTAATTAAAAATTTTACTTTATTAATTTATGAATTAAACATAATTAATTTTAATTTTTTCATCTTCTTCTTCCTGTTCCTCTTTCTCCTTATCCTTACCCTCCTCTTCTTCTTCAGAATCATCTTCATCATCTTGGGTTCCTCGTGGAACCCAGTGCGGGGTTCACAAGGAACCCAAATCTGGGTTCCTCTCGAAACCCAGCACTGGGTTAGCGAGGAACCCAGAACTGGGTTTCTCACAAACCCAGAGCTGG